CTACTGAGAAATAGATACAAAAGAATTTTGTACCGTTTTGTTAGTGTACTCACTGTGTTTTGACTGGATTACTTCTGTGCAGTCAGCTCCTCTGGGGGTCCTTGTCTTCTGTTCTCCATCTGTATCAAGTTATCTAGTGGTGTCCCTCTGCTGCCAGTGTATCTGATATGTTGATCTCTCTACCATTCCTTTAAAGGAAGACATCAAGGGGTGTCATGTAAAACACGTGGGCTTTCTTTAGCTGATTTTTGGACCCTAATAAGAATAGTATAGCACCAAGTCTCCTGCTTCCTGTCACTGTCTTTTTCTTTGTAATTGAAATATTGCTAAACAGGATGTGATGGACAGGAAGATTGAGTTTTGATACAAAAATAACAATAATGTACAATATTCTGAAATGCAAATATGCGTCTCTTGGAGTTGTGTGCCAAACTGCATAAACTTGAAAATGTTAGGCTTGCCATATTTTTGTAACAGAGGTTGTGTGCTTCAACACTTGTACATTAGAACACCTGGACTGTACCTATCTAGACATCAGCATACCTCTTAGCGTTAATTCCTCCTGGTCAAGAAAACTGAGACACAGAGGCTAAATAATTTACTGAGAGCCACAGTGGAAGGTTTGTGACAGAGCAGGAAATAGAACTCAGGTGTCCCAAGTCCCAAACTAGTGCCCCAACCATTGGACTTCCTCCCAAAATATATACTTTTGTGGCTTATCCCCAATTCTAGTGTTATATGTTATTCCTCCCAGTAGGCAAAATATGTGGATTGTCAATGATAGCACCACCATTCTAATTTCTGCTCAGTATCTTCTCTTCCCCCTTTTCATTTTTTTCTCCACCTGATACGCCTTCCTTGTTTTCTGCATTTCTTTAAAAATGTTTCTCTCATTTTCCCGACCCCTTATTTTTTTTTCTATAGGAAAAAAACCCAGCAGTATTATTTTATATATGGAAGGGTTCTGCCTAACAATTTAGCTTGTTTGTACAGCCTTTCCCTGAGTGTTAAGAGCATGAAGTAGAGAAAGATAAATAGGATTAGTCGCTTTTCTTCTGTGGTAAAAATCTTGAGAAAAATAATCAGGAGACTGTTACAGTGGGAATAGAAAAGAGGTTCCCAAGCTATGGTCTACAGAATATTTGCTGGTGGTCTGCAGAGAGGTGGCTGTTCTCATGGAACTGTTTGTTCCCTGCATTCCAACTGAGAAAAACAGAACAAAGAGGGATAAAATGGAGAGCCAAAGTAGACACTGTCACCTTTTTTCCCCCCTTTCATCCCCAGAAAGGAATAGGAAGGTTTTGACAAGGTTTGTAATGAACACTTTCTGGCCAAATTTCAGTGCTGGTAACTCCATCTTCATCTTCACAGATCTCAGAGTGGATAAAAATTGATGATTTTTTAAATTAAATTAAAATTAAATGCAAATTTATTTAAAAAACAAGTATTGAAAACTAAATTTAAAATTAACAGTTTATGTTAAGGTCTACACTACTTATAATCTATTAAAATCTTTTAAATATAAAAATATTAAATAGTATGTTTGCCAACGTTTAAAGAAAGTCAAACTATTAAACCAGCTTTTGACAGCAGTAGCCTCTTCTGCAGATGCAAAGAGACTGTTTTCTTCATTTCAGTTTATTCAAGTAGTTCACTTCAATGACTAGTTCATTCAAAGTTAATAAACCAATTTGGAGTTGAAAGAGTAGGTAAGCTTGCTTTCCTTTTACAATACAAACTAGGTGTGAAAGGTTGAAATCTACCAGATCTAGAATTTTGAAGGACATGGTGACCACAAACAACAAGTTCCATTAATTAACTGCAGATAATACTTTCTCTGTTTAATAAATCAGTTTGTTTTCAATGCAAAACATGTTTTGATAAACTTTCCTATAAACTTTTTTCTCGTGTATCCAGCACATTTAAGGTAGCTTTTATTTAATTAAAAACACAGAAATCCTGTTTTTGTGCATTTTTAATTGAATTTGCATTTCCATCCAAACAGCTTGGCAGAAATCACAAGTAAAAAATTAATAATAATATAGTAAATAAGAAATTCATCATTTTCTAACATAATAAAATAAAGTGAAAATTAAGAATAAATGTAAATAATGTATATAGTTGCTTAAATAAATGGGTATAGATATACTGTATCCTCCTGGTTAGTGGAAAATAAAAGCACCAAATGTAAGGCTATATTGTAGTTGTAAACCAACTTGTTTTAATCATTAGCAATCAATGAGAGCCAAGAAAACAACTAAAAAGTACAAACGCAAAGCATGATTAAAATTGATTATTTAAATCAAGGTTTCTGCTTGCTTATTTAAATCATGATTAAAGTCTGTGATTTAAATTGGTTTGATTTAAATCAATACACCCTTCTTGGCCTATTTGGCTGCCTTTGACACAGTTGACCATGCTCCTCCACTTGAAATTGTTTCATGCCTGGGTTTTGTTGACTCCATCCTCTTCTTGTTTCCCTTCTACCTCTTGGATCACTCCTTCAGAATCTGATTTTTTGGGTCATCATTTCCTCTTCCTCTTTTGGTGTGGATTCCTTGGGCTCCATCCTTAGCTCCTTTTCCTCTTCTCCCTCTAAACCCTTTTTTTGTGTGGGTAATCTCATTTGCAAACATGGTTTTGACCACCATCTTTATCATGGACTATCAAATCTACTTGTCTATTCTGGACCTGCCTTCCTTCATCAACTATAACATTGTGGACAGTCTTTGATATTTCCGTTCTATTTCAAACTATCTACTGAAACCTAACATTCTCAGAACTGAGTTCTTGATGTTTCCCCCAGAGCTCTTCCCTATCTCCCCTTTTTCTATCAGTAGGGAAAGCATCAGAATCCTCCATTTCATGTAAGCCTATAAAAGCGCTGTTGTTTGTATTATTGTAGTGCCTCAGAGCCTCAGTCATGGACCAGGACCCCATTGTGCTAGGCGCTGTACAAACACATAATAAAAAAACAGTCCCTACCCCAAAGACCTTACAATCTAAGTATAAGGCAAGAGACAACAAATGGATACATACAAACAGGGGAGTGGAAGGAAACAATGAGACAATATTGGTCAGCATGATACACTGTGGTCTCAGAACACCAGCATTTAGTTTTTTGTAGGCATCCCGACAAAGAAAAGTTCTTCGGGTGCTTGCTCTTGTCCATTCCATGTTAGGTGTGTGTGCTCACCACATGCACTGGTGCCAGAACTTTTTTCCCCGGTGGTATGATTAAGGCTAAGATTTTATCATGGTTATTTTTAGTAAAAGTCATGGACAGGTCTCGTGCAATAATCAAAAGTGCATGGAAGACCGTGACCTGTCCCTGACTTTTATTAAAAAAATAACTATGACAAAATGGGGAGGAAGGAGGGTCCAAGGTTCCCCCCACCCACAATGGCTGAGAGCGTGGGGTCCTCCCTGCAGCTGGCAGCAGCTTGGAGCTGTGGCGTCTGCCTGTGACGGCTGGGAGCTGCAGGGTCACCCTGCCGGGTCACCCTGCCACCCATAGGGGTGGCTGGGAGCTGCAGGGTCCCCTCAACGCCTGAGGCTGTGTGTGTATGGGGTCTGCCTTCCACAGCAGCAGCTGGAGGCTGCAGGTGGGGGCAGGGGGGGCTCCACCTCCCGCAGTAGCAGCTGGGGGCTGTGGGGCATTGGCTCAGGGCTGATGGGGAGGGGGTTCCCACCGCCTGTAGCAGCTGGGAGTTGTAGGGGGACCCCATCAGCTGACGGCTCATGCCCCGCCACCCTGGGGCTGAAGCGAAAATGTCTCAGAGGTCTCTGGAAGTCACAGATTCATGACCTCCATGACAAAATCATAGCCTTAGTTATGACATCTCTCTCTCTTTTTAAGATTATAAACTCTTTGGGGTAGAGACTGTAATTTTTCTGTCTTTGTATAGTTCTTAGCATAATGGGGCCCCAGTCTCATGAAGGCTACCACAATGTAAAATTGTATGCAAAATTTATTTAAGCAACAGTTATAGTTGTCAAAGGGATATAATGGGATTGCAGGTGGGAGTGGAGGTAGTCTGTGTAGTCATGAATAGGAGGTTGAGGTGTGATGCCCAAAACAACCTCTCTTAAAATGTAGTCTGTACTTTTTAAAAAAAAAATGTAGACCTGGATTAAGATTACATGTCCCTTTTCGGATGGCTACAATTGTAAAGTACTAGCTGTACTCCAAAGGTAATTTGGCTGCTATATGCAACCACTTGCCTACTACCTGAGGTGCATGTTTGCCAACTGACTTTAAAAAATGGTAGAATATCTCTTTAAATGAACTCTCTTACAATGAAGGTAAACTAAATTTATCATTTTTTGTCACATGCTATTTTATTCTGACTTGCTGTAGTTTTGGGGTTGATGAGTAGGAACCCATAAATCCCATACAAGTGATGAGACACTCAAAGGAGTAATGTCAGTATTCAGCTATACACAGTCATCCATAGGTGTTATTATTTTTCCTGCCACCCACAGGAAACCCACTTGGGCAATTGGAGGTTTAGGAATTTGCTATGACTGTGATTCCTAACATAGTTAACCTGTGGCTTCCTGAGTGATCTAGTGGCCTTAGTATAGTTCTGAACTTTAACCTACATGCAACGATAATTTTTTGTTTGTGTAAAGCACCTTTGTTACAGTGATTTAAGAATGAAAAGTACTATATGAGAGCTACATAGGACCAGTAATTTTCGTCAACATTTATACAAGGCATCAAATTATACAAAGCGTCTTTCTTTGACATATGTACTGTTCTGTATTAGGAGGGCTGGAGGACCATAAGTGGCCACAAGTTCACACTTTACTGTATAATGCTTAAAGCGGATTTGGTAAACTTTAAAGCTCAGTTTAATGGGGGGAAAATCCCATGGATTAAAACTAAATAGGTTACAACAAAAATTGTAGAATATTAACAACGTTTAAGACAACTTTCATTTGATCATAATGTTTAAATAATAAATATAAAACTGTGACTTTCTTATTTTTGGCAGAGTTCCAGAGATGCAGAAATGAAATTCAAAAGTGAAAGCAGAGTTAAACTTTTTGTCTTGGATCCAGATGCACAGGTTTGACATTTTAAAATAATCAATGTGTTTCTCATTTTACAAGGTACAACATAAACAGTTTTCATTTTTGTTTCCTTTTAAAGAAACTTGACTTTTCGGGTATTGAACCAGAAGTGAAGCCATTTGAAGAGAAATTTGGGAAAAAGATTCTAGTGAAGTGTAATGACTTATCTTTCAATCTGCAAAGCTGTGTTGCTGAAAATGAAGAAGGACCAACAACAAATGTAAATTCTTTATGTAAATACTTTGCCTTTATGTATCAGATATATAGTAGTTAACCTCTTAATATTGGCATTAATTGACAATGCACTTCAGACCAATAAATCTCAGATACTGTTAGGAAGAAGTTTTGTTTTTTTTGCTGCTGATTAATCCATTAAAATGAAAAAGAAAGCATGAATCCTTTGTAAAGCTTTTATAGCTGCTTCTTTCGTGCTGTTAATGAAAGTGTTTTATTTCTTCACTGTATTTTATATCGTGGATATAATAGTCAAAGAATGCTGGCTCTTCTTTGTAACTGATGTACAGCAGTACAGTAGACATATTTGCTTTGCATTTGTATGTCAATACACATCTGTATTTGCAGATAATCTTTTGGGGATGCTGGTGATAACCTTTTTCACACTTTTTAATGTCTAGGTAGAACCTTTTTTTGTCACATTGTCATTGTTTGATATTAAAAACAATCGGAAGATTTCAGCAGATTTCCATGTCGACTTGAACCACGTCTCGGTGAGGCACATGATATCTAATGCGACACAGCAACTGATGAATGCCAGTGGTGATAACTTACACAGGGCTCAAGATATTATCCATGAGTCTATCTTGCAATATCCTAAACAGGTAAGGAGAAACAATATCAAGTTCTGATTCAGAACAAGAGCAGTGGGTTATCTGACACATTTCAAATAGCTTTTCCACTGGGTGTAGAATAAAAAAAAAAAAGAACTTGTAAATATATAATATATGTGTATAAATATATATATTTTTTTAGGTAATATTCTCAGTTACATGTCCACATCCTGATATATTTCTTGTGGCAAGAATTGAAAAAGTACTACAGGGAAGTGTTACACATTGTGCTGAGCCATATATGAAAAGTTCAGATTCTTCTAAGGTACTGTATCTTTTAAAAATTGTGTTGGTAAAATGCTTAGACAAAATTATTCTGTATTTGTGGTGTTATAGCTAAAAAAACTCAAAGTTGGGTTCCACTTTTTGGATGGCCAAAACTTTTAGATTAATTTTGTATGGCACAGTTTCTTTTTTAGTTGTCTGATGGCTTTAATTAAAGTGTTATAGATAAATTTTTTCATATTGCTTTTAAAAAGTTGAGATTAGCTTGTATACTGTAAAAAAAATTTTGTATACAGTGCTTTTTGTAGTCTTTTACATGGTCATTAAAGAGATTTTACAAAATAATAGTCATACAACTTCAAAAATAAAAGTTTGGGTTTTTTGAGCATTTGGAATATATAGGATGGGACAGACTTTCAGAAGTATAGGCAAAACTCCAGGGTTTCACAAACCTAAATGTGTTTTTACATACACATGAACAAATCTGTTCCCCATGTTTAACTTTTTGTATACCTAGTCAGATTCTTTGCTGCTTTGTGACTTATTTACATGTTTTGGTTATTCTATTTTAGAACCACTATACTGGCTTAAATCCTCTATATATTTACATATTAAACATTTTTTGTCCAATTAGATTCCATCATGCAGACAATAGTATGCATTCACATGTTTGTCTTCTGAAATGCACCATTTAAGAAGCTATTTTTGCTATTTGTCTTTTTAGTTGCTATTGCTTGTCAGAAATCGAAGTAATAAAACAAGAGTTTCAACTGCAGTAACTAAAAATGTCTGGTACTTTGTCACAGGCCCGAAGGTTGCAAGACATAAACATATCTGTTACAGCTCCAGTCAGCTACTGTTGAACTATTTTTCCTATTTTCCACAGTGCAAAATATAACAGGGAAGAGGGAAGCTTCAGAGTATAGTATTCAACAGACAAATAATGATCCCTGTTACCAGTTAATATAAAGATTCTTGCATTCACCTTAATGAGCATTATATGTTTCAGACCATCTTAGCATATATCAAACTAAATTATCTGTGTTTTGTAAGCAGCATTTTAATCTTTGTCATTAGTAACAGGCAGCTTTACAATCTAGGAAGCCATTGATTCATAGATTCCAAATCCAGAAAATGGACCATTGCAATTATCTAGTCTGACCTTCTGTATAACACAAGCCATAGAACTTCCCCAAAATAATAAAAATAAATAATTCTTCAAAATAATTTCTAAAGCATATTCTGACTAATAGTCAAAGAAAGACTTAAAAAAAAAAAATCACAGACTTATTTTTGGTGGCCTTTATTTACAAGGCCCTCAGCCAGGAAGTAGACTTAATTCTTTCTCTTGATTTGGTACCCAGCACTAGAGCAAGAATCATGTTGTCCTTTATTATAGATGGAACTGGTAGCAACACTTGTTAGGGTTGCCTACCGTGTGTTTCATTATAACCCCATTTTCAGTTGCTTATGTAACACTATATAAGTTTAACTGTTTGGGCTGAAATTTTTCTATTCTTGCTCTCTGCTCCAGGTTAAATTTTTTTCAGCAAAATGAAACAAAATCAATTTTTCCATCTCTCACAGACCTTCCTACACATCAGCTTCATTGAGCATGTGTCCATGCCCCACAGAGTTAGTGCTTCTGACAGGGAAAACAAAACCAGCAGTCTCTTTCGCCTAGGAGAAGGTGTGTTGGCTGGAGCAAAATCATTAGTTCTTGCTCAGTTCTTCCCAATTAGTGTAAAGGGTTATGAAGTGCATAGACTTGTTATTGATGAAGGCCTCATGTTTGCCAGTCTCCTAAGATACAAATGCAATTGCCCATATTTTACGGATGGGGTAACTGAGAAGTTGCATAAGGTCACAGTGGCATAGCTGGAAAAGAGTTGTCTCTAATATGAGGTATGCAAGTCTCATCCAAGGCACACTGCCTGTCACAATGAATGTTGCCAATCTATTTGCTTGACTGATCTGTGTGTAACCACTAGAACTCAGGATGCCTCAGTCAACATTCCTTTGCTGTCTAGCAAATAGCTTTATAATCCACTGGCAGAGTGTATGTTGTAACCCTCTCTAGTTGCTGATCCACAGAAGATAGCAGCCTACTACTGCTACCAGCTACTATTTTAGTTCAAGTGGTAGAGGTCTGCTACATATCTAAAGGTACTGGATTCCAGCCTTGCTGATGACCCATGTGGAGGCCATGTGATGGGATTTGTTGTCTTCATTAAACAAACAAATCTAGGAAATTGCACTCTCAAAACTCAGTTAAAAGAAAGCTATGGTTCCAAGTCAAACACTCAGAAATTAGGAAATTTCATAATTAAAGTTACCTGTGCAACTTTAATTTCACCTTGCTACTTGTGTATGTTCATAATAATACAAGCTTTAATTATGTGGTCTCATGCTATTTATTTTACAGGATCCCTGCCTCATTCATTCACCCACTCCATCTCTAAAAAGTCTAATCATCCAAGATATCTTCCTCCCCTGTGCTAGAGCCCTTCCCCGCCACATGGTAAGACTCCAGCAGTGGGGATTCAGAGGAGAAAGGCTCTGGCAGCTCTCCACTGCTGGAGCCCTTCCTCCACTGTGGGGAAAGGCTTGGCAACTCTGCCACTGGAGCCCTTCCCTGCTAAAGGGAAAGACTCTGCTAGTTCCCTGCTGCTAGAGCCCTCCCATGCCACGGGGAAAGGCTCTGGCTAGGGTGGGGGAGGCAGCAGGGAAAAGCTGCAGGGGCAGTGGCGAAAGGCTGTCAGCTCCCTTTTGCAGCCCTTTTCTGCTCAAGGAAAGATTCCAGTATCGAGGAAAGGCTGGCAGGTGGAAGCAGCGGGGAAAAGGCTCCTTGCCACAGTAAAAGGCTCTGGCAGTGGGTAGCAGCTGAAGCTTTTCTCTGACATGTATAGCTACATGTACAGTACACGTCACCGAAAGTGGTGTGCTGTGTAGACATAGCCTAAGATACAGCCTTGTGTGACCATCCACACACTCATCCAAGCTCTCATCATCTCATATCTTGATTACTTCAACATCCTTATTTTTGGCCTTGACAAATGCAATCTTGTCCCACTCATAACCATTCAGAATACTGCGTAAAAGCGAATTTTCCAAGTCCATAGCTTTGACCACATCAGCCCTGTTGATGTACCTCTTCAGTGGTTCCCTCTTCTCTGTTATATCAAATATAAGCAACATGTCTTCACTTTCAAGGCCCTTCCTGGCCTATCCCCGCCTTACCTTTTACCTCTCTTTCAAAAGGTTGACTCCTGCCTCCAACGGGCCCATGAAGTCAGCTTCCATCACCCACTTTTTAAAATTTATATTTTACTGACCTTTTCCCTCCCAAATTAAGGAGAGAACAGAACAAAAGACAAAAGTAAATGAATGGGAAGGGAGGGAAAGGGGGCAGGAAGGGGAAAGGAAACAGACATCTCAATCACCCACTTGATAAACTTTCAAACAAACACCTTTGTGCTTTCTCCAACACTGCCCTGCAGGCTTGGGATTTGCTCCCTGTAAACATCCACAAACCTAATTCATTATCCTCCTTCAAAACACTCCTTAAAATTCTACTTTGCCTTGAGGCCTTCAAAAAACTTGTCTGCTGGTGTGGTGAGAACACTGCCTGTCATGCTGGCCAATATTTTCTTATTGTTTCCTTGTACTTTCCCATTGATCTGTCTCTTTCCATCTGTTGCCTCTTGTCTTACACTCTCTGGGGCAGGGTCTGTCTTTTTTTCTTTTTCTTTTTTTAGTGTTTTTATAATGTTTAGCACAATGTGGTTCTGGTCCATGCCTGGGATTTCTAGGGACTACTATAATATAAATTATAATATTTTTCAACATATAGAATGGAAAATAAATATAGCAGTGAGGGTTTCTAAAAGAAACTGGACTGGGATGCAGTAGAGTTGGGTTCTGTTCCTGGTTCTTCCACAGACTTCATATGTAATGATGGGTGAGACTTCTATTTAAGAAAAAAAAAAGGCCAAATTAAATTGCACAGGCAGTGTTAATTCTGCTGTCATCATCTAACTTTTGAGTGCTTGACTTTGCAAATCTAGCCTTCTGTTAACTTTTTATGTGTAGGGACATACACCATATGAAACCTGGGGCTCTCCAATGCATATCTATCTAGTCAATATGCCCACATTTAGTATGTTACACTCAAGGCCTTATAGAATTTGGTGGGATCTTAAGGCCCATTTCTGCTTTGCATAAAATCCTATTTCATTCTGTTTCACTTGTCATTTTCTTGCAGTCTAGTGATGACTATAAACATTTGGACACTTACAAATTAACAAACAATAACAAAAAACTCCTTCCTCTATATGGCAGATGCTGCAGAGATGTCAACAATATAGCTCTAAAAGACAAAAGGTATCCAAATCACAAAATACATTTCCTTGCTACAGAATCAGACAAAACATACTGCTGAGTATTTTGACAGTGAGAGAGCAGAAGAAACATTTGCTCTCTGTAAGTAAGAGGTGGAAGGAGAGAGGCATAGCCCCAAGACCTCTTCTCCAGTCTGAAGTAAACTACAGGCCGACTTCTACTCTGCCTTCCTCATCTAGACCTTTGATTGCATCTCTGTAGAGTATCCAGTAGAAGGCACTATTAAAGGTACTACAGAAATGCAGTCAGAGAAGGCAAAGATCAAGTGGACCTGAAGTGGTAGTGTTTTCTTACAGAATGAAACAGGTGCCTTCAAAGAGTCAGCAGATTAGGTCCTTTTCACCTGTGGAATCAAAGAGAATGGCAGGTCCTGCTAATATCTTAAGGAACTATTAAAGAATTTGTGTTTTGTTTAATTCTTTTTGTTACCACTTCTCATGAATTTAGTAATACTGATAAAAGTTAAAATCTTTTAAGAATTGTTTTCTACTTGGTCTGAGCATAGACTTGTTTATTTTTTATGCATCTTCAACTCCTATATATTATTATTTGCAGGTTGCACAGAAAGTGTTGAAGAATGCTAAGCAGGCATGTCAGAGACTAGGACAATATAGAATGCCATTTGCTTGGGCAGCTAGGTAAAGGATGCAATTCTTGTCATTCACTACATTTTTCTGCTGATTATTTAACACAGTTTCCTACAAAATAACAGTGTAAGTCTCATTTGTCAAAATTCAACTTCCTATTTGTGGGATCTGTTCTTTCTTGGTTATTTCAGGATGGCCCTTTCTAAACTCTGTCATATCCCAGTCATAGATTTTTGGCAAATGAGACTTACATTTCTGTTTTTTGGTGGGATGGGTATTGTAGATGATTGTAACACCTAACCATACAAATAATTTAATTTTACCAACTTTTTTTCACTGACAAAAATTTTTTTCTTGCTTTTCTAAAAAGTAAATTGTCCTTGTTCTGCTTATAAAAATATTAGCTGTGAATATGGTGAAACTCACCTGGGTACAATTTTAAGAATATTAAATGCTTCACGTAGAGTGTGATACAGTCAAAATAGTTTCTTTACCTTATCCTCTTGTTACCAAAATTTAAAGAGAGAATTTGACTTTCAGGACATTGTTTAAAGATGCATCAGGAACCCTGGACAAAAATGCAAGATTTTCTGCTCTCTACAGACAAGACAGTAATAAACTCTCAAATGAAGACATGCTTAAGTTGCTAGCAGATTTCAGGAAGTGAGTATATAATTTCTTAATATTACAAAAATTTAATATCTTTCATCATTAACATAAATTAAAGCATCTGTTCCTTTCTTATGATGCATTTAAATTATGGCTGTCAAGCGATTAAAAACATTAATCGCGATTAAATAGTAATAGAATACCATTTATTTAAATTTTTGGATGTTTTCTATATTTTCAAATATATTGATTTTAATTACAACACAGAACACAAAGTGTACGGTGCTCAGCTTTATATTTATTATTTGATTACAAGTATTTGCGCTGTAAAAAAACAAAAAAAATTTTTTCAATTCACCTAATACAAGTACTGTAGTGCAATCTCTTTATCATGAAAATTGAACTTATAAATGTAGAATTATGTACAAGTCCACTCAGTCCTACTTCTTGTTCAGCCAATCACTCAGACAAAGAAGTTTGTTTACATTTGCAGGAGATTATGCTTCCTACTTGTTTACAATGTCACCTGAAAGTGAGAACAGACATTCTCATAGGACTGTTGTAGTCGGCATTGCAAGATATTTACGTGCCAGATGTGCTAAAGATTCATATGTCCCTTCATGCTTCAACCACCATTCCAGGGGACATGCGTCCAAGCTGCTGATGGGTTCAGCCCCTCACCTATAAAAGGTGAATCACCACTGGTCCGTGAGACTGGTGCGGTTGCGACGGCGTGGAGGCAGGGGCAGTGGCCCGCTCAGTGACAGTACTGGAACTTGTGGGGTGTACCTGTTACACTCCCACCGTTCCTCCCAGGCCACATCGGACAAACTGCCCCTGGCACCAGAGTCAGAGCACGGTGACGAATCTGATGTGCAGCAGGCCCCGACGCCCAAGGAGCTGTCCCCAGACAAGCAAGGGGAAGCTGACCCTCCCCCTGCAGTGCAGTAGTCTTTGTCGTCCCCAGTGGTGGGCCTCTCGCAAACAAGCAGCTGCCCCAACGACTTCAAGGAGCACTAGGCCTTACTCAAAAAGGTGGCTGCCGACCTGGACTTGGAGGTCAAGGAGCTAGTGGAGGAGTCCAATGACCTCTTTAATGTTGTACCCTCCTCCACCCTGGCCCGAGTTGCATTGCCTGTCCACCCAGGGGTCCTAAAAATTGCTGAGTCTTTGTGGCAGACCCCCCCTTCCATTCCACGTACCTCCAAGAAGGCAGAAAAGAAGTACTATGTTCCGGCAAAGGGATTCGAATACCTGTATACCCACCCTCCAGCGGGATACCTGGTCGTGTCAGTCGTCTACGAAAGGCACAGGCGAGCGGCACACCGAAAAATAAATATGCCAAGAGGCTGTACTTGTTTGGCAGGAAAATTTATTTGACAGCCAGCCTGCAAGTTTGGGTGTCTAACCATCACACCCTGCTAGGCAGGTACAACTTCAACCCGTGGGACTCCATCAGCAAGTTCAAGGAGGGCCTCCCAATGGACCGAGCCCACGAGTTCGCCACCTTAGTGGAAGAGGGCAAAGTGGTGGCGAGAGTTGTCCTCCAGGTGGCCTGGGACACTACGGACTCGGCGGCCAGGGTAGTCACCTCTGCAATGGTCATGAGGCACAGCTCCTGACTGCAGTCCTCCAGGCTGTCCCAGGAAGTGCAGGCTACTCTTAAGGACCTCCCATTTGAGGGAGCAGGGCTCTTCTCGGAGCTGACCGATGCACGGCTCCATGGCCTCAAAGACTCCCATGCCACCCTCCATTCCTTGGGCCTACACACCCCTCAGCAGTCTAGAAAGCTGTTCTGTCCCCCATATCCTCTGCCTCCATCGAGGTCCTGGGGTGTCCCCCGATCCAGTTGCTACAGGAAGAAGGACAGAGACAAAGGTTTAAGTGGCAGAACTCTTCATCTTCCCATTCCTCTGTCCAGCTTGGTTCTTCCAGAGGCAAAGGAAGCCAGAAATGGGCATTTTGAGGATGTGCCTGAGGATGGCGCCCCAGTCACTTCCCAGGATCTTCCCCGCCTGCTCTTTTCTCAATCACCTGTGCTCCTTGTGGTCGACCTGGTCGCAGCTGACAGTGGACCATTGGGTCCTCGACATAATATCTTCGGGCTACATCCTGCAAGGTGGAGCCAGATTGCCTGCCCTTTGCCAAGAAGCCCTCAGGCTATGGGACTTCTGTGTACAACATGACATCCATCTCATAGCCACACACCTTCCCTGGGGCCAGGAATGCCTTGGCATATCGCCTCAGCAGGACCTTCCCGTCTCGTCATGAGTGGTCTCTCCACCCAGAGGTGGTCTGTATCATATTCCAGAGGAGAGGTACTCCCCTTGTGGATCTGTTCGTGTCCAGATAAAACAGGAAATGCCACATTTTCTGCTTCTTTCAGGGGTTCGACAGAGGATCCCTGTCGGACGCTTTCCTGCTCCCGTGGTCAGGGGCTCTAATGTATGCCTCCTCCCCCCACCCCCCATTCCGTTGATCCACAGAGTTCTTGTGAAGATCAAGCAGGACAGGGCAAAGGTGATCCTTATAGCTCTGGCTTGGCTGCACCAATGCTGGTTTGGCACGCTGCTGGACCTCTCGGTGTCAGGTCCATTACAGGCACCACTCCGGTTGGATCTGCTGTCACAAAACCATGGCAGTCTTAGAATCATAGAATATTAGAGTTGGAAGAGACCTCAGGAGGTCATCTAGTACAACCCCCTGCTCAAAGCAGGACCAACGCCAACTAAATCATCTCAGCCAGGGCTTTGTCAAGCCGGGCCTTAAAAACCTCTAAGGATAGAGATTCCACCACTTCCCTAGGTAACCCATTCCAGTCCCATTCACCACCCTCCTAGTGAAATAGTGTTTCCCAATATCCAACCTAGACCTCCCCCTCTGCAACTTGAGACCATTGCTTCTTGTTCTGTCATCTGCCACCACTGAGAACAGCGTAGCTCCATCCTCTTTGGAACCCCCTTTCAGGTAGTTGAAGGCTGCTATCAAATCCCCCCTCATTCTTCTCTTCTGCAGACTAAATAATCCCAGTTCCGTCAGCCTCTCCTCATAAATCATGTGCTCCAGCCCCCTAATCATTTTTGTTGCCCTCCGCTGGACTCTTTCCAACTTTTCCACATCCTTCTTGTAGGGTGGGGCCCAAAACTGGACACAGTACTCCAGGTGAGGCCTCATCAATACCGAATAGAGGGGAATGCTCACTTCCCTCAAATGCTCAAAGGACCAAGCCATCCGCAAGTTGATGCAATTGTTCGTCGCGGTGGCCGACAGGATGAAAGATCGTCCAGTGTCCGCTCAAATAATTTCTTCTTGGATCACTGCCTGCATTCACTGCTGCTATGAACAGGCAAGGGTGCCACCTCCGGCGATCGTGACCACCCATTCAACCTCTTACACAGCTTTCCAACCCAAGTACCTATCCAGGACATCTATAAGGCAGCCACCTGGTTGTCCATCCACACGTTCACATCCTATTACGTGCTTATCTAGCAGGCCCGGAATGATGCTGGTTTTAGTAGAGCAGTGTTGCAAGCCACACGACCATGAACTCCAAGCCCACCTCTGAGGATACTGCTTGTGAGCCACCTAGAATGGAATCGATATGAGCAAGCACTCAGAGAAGAAAAAACAGTTACCTACCTTTCGTAACTGTTCTTTGAGATGTGTTGCTCATGTCCATTCCATTACCCGCCCTCCTGCCCCTCTGTTGGAGTTGCCAGCAAAAAGGAACTGAGAGGGCGTAGGGTCGGCAGCGCCTAATATTCCGATGCATGAGTGCAGGACTCAAGGTGGCACTGCTAAGGATACCGCTAAGGCAAAAGTCTGACGACTGTGCACGTGGGCGCGTTCACACCTAGAATGGAATGGACATGAGCAACACATCTTGAAGAGCAACAGTTATGGATGCACGACAGCTGAACACCTTCTGTCTCATAAGGCAAACTTGTGTTTAGGTCAAACATAACAAGGTGGTTAGCTTTGTCGTGCAGTGCTTGTATACGCTGTTGTCAAAGTGTTCTGTAGCATCTCAAAGGGTAGAGTGTAGGTATGTATGTGTGTTGGAATGTTGGGATATTGCTTTCTTTTCCTTCTGTATTTCTGATAGATTTTGGCAACTGACCTGACCTTTTTTGTTGTTTCTGTTTACAGACCTGAAAAGATGGCCAAGCTGCCAGTTATTTTAGGAAATCTAGACATAACAATTGATAATGTCTCTCCAGATTTTTCTAGTAAGTATTGATAAGCATTATTAAATAGTTGAATAAGCTTTTTTACTTCAAAATTTTTATTGTTTTTAATCTATTTTCAGATTATGTTAACTCATCATACATTCCCATGAAACAGTTTGAAAACAGTCCCAAGACAATAGTAACTTTCGAAGTGGAGGAATTTGTTCCCTGTATTCCAAAACATTCTCAGCCTTTCACCATCTACAACAATCACCTTTATGTTTATCCAAAGCACTTGAAATATGACAGTCAAAAGTCATTTGCAAAGGTGAGTGTAAGGAAAATACTAAACTCTTGTTGTGGACTGCAGTTCTATTCAGATATTAATGACCAAATATATATTCTGTTTCTATGATGATGGTTCTGAATAAATGTTTTTTTTTTTTTTTTTAAATATTGTTTTAGGCTAGAAATATTGCAGTATGCATTGAGTTCAAAGATTCGGATGAAGAAGATTCTCTGCCTTTAAAGGTTTGTCTGTGATTTTGGTATCTAATAGAAGAAAAACATTAAGATTTACTGGTTTAGAAGTAACACATTGTGGGCCTACACAAGGATTAGAGTTGGGATCTTTGTTTTTCCTTCTCTGTGGCAGTTGGATTGTCCTGGAGATGACTTGCTCATCTCTGAAAGGTAATGGGCAGAGCCACTAACCCCTGCTATTGGCCAGTCTTGGTGAAAATATTCCCACTGGTCTTTTTATTTCTATCCTCACCTGAATGAAGCTTCCACAGAAGAAGCCTGTTGCAATGTGGGGTGGTTTGCTCCTACTTACGAGGCAAAGCTTTAGAACATTGACTGACTCAAGTGTATTAGGCTTCCTGACTAGGCTTGACTGGCTGACTGCCACAGTGGAATAGGGAGAAAGTTGCCTGAGAGAGCCTAATGCTGGTTTTCTGGTGTTAGGCGGGGCTAAAAGTGAATGATAATTGCTACAGTTCCATAAAGAGGAAAAAATTATAATCCTTCCTTAACTGCTTCTCACTAACAATAGGCTTTCTGAATGGGGCTTTCACTCTATATTTTAAATCATTTAGCATTACATATTTTGATGTACAATAAACTGTAATAATAAAACATTGTTTCTGTTGCTAAATAAAATGGGAGAGCAGCTATGTACCATTCCAGAAATTCTTTAGACCTAAATTTTCAAAAGTGACTAATGAATTTGGGGGTGTCAGTTTTTGAGTGCCCAATTTAAGAAGCATTTAGGAGACTTGATTTTAAGTAAGTGTAGAGCACCTGTCATCTGAAAATCAAGGTGACTAAAAGTTGGGCATCAAGAAATTGAGGCACCCAAAACCACTAGTTCCTTTTTAAAATGTAGGCCTTAAAATGTGGTTCTTAAAATGTCTCCAGCACAGACCCTCTCTTCAGGGCCCAACACAAATACTACCTCCAGAGAATCCTACTTGAAAAGTAAGGAAAAGAAGCATCATTCTGGCACTGAGGAGGTGTGAAGGAAGAGAAAAAGAAGCACATTCTTTCCTCCTGATCAGCTCCCCAGTGCAGGTTCTTTCTATGATGACTGTGCCGGAGCAGCAGCATCAGTAGCTCTTGGTACCAGAGCTGCCAGTGCAGATGCGATCACTGTGGATCTCAGAAGGTTCACTTTACTGGAAATCGCTAGGACCTTTTCCCTGTCTACATGCTGCAGTCCAAATAATAACTCCATTACTGCAGATTATTCCTCATCTTGTCTGGAACCATCACCCAATCCTCCCCATAGGGTCATCTCACTGCAGGATTGGTACAGGGACACCCTTAGTGCCATTTGGGGTGGATTTGAGAGGCACGCTGATTTCAGCACCTGGGGGACTCCAAGGGGTTTGGCCCCTGTAGCCTTCCCACAGATACCAGATCTTTGGAGGGACCTTTATACAAGGTCCTCTCCAGTTAATAATATGAGATTATATTCAAGAGTGTAGTCAGGTCCTTATTGAATCTGAAATACGCAAGCTATCTGAACCTCGTGCTGTGGGAGATGCCCCATCAGTCCTGCCATTAGTGCTCACAACATTGTCACAGCCTTCTGTACCAATCTCAGAACTGAGGAAGCTGATCCCTCACCAACATTCTCTCCTACCTCCACCTGACATGCCCCACCAGTGGCTGATGTGCAGGTTGATTTGGGTCCCCTAGATGATGGAAAATCCTTTATTGGGGACACAAACAATGCCATAGTTCTCCTCGTGGTCCTATTGACGCCTCTGCAATATCTCGACCTGATGGACTACAAACAGTTCCAGGAGTATCTCAGGAGGAAGGGAAATAGTGTCCAGCTACCTACAGAGACAATAGTGGCAGAGCTTCCTCATCCCCTTTTTTATATCCTCCAAGTCTGAATGCAAGTCAATGTCTCTTACCCGGGGCTTACACCTCCAGTCTTCTCTGGCAGTCTCCAGGAAAGCACACAAGATGTATCCCGTTGCAGCCGATGTTTCCATTTCTTGAAAAGTCACCCAACCCCAAACTCCCTAGTTGTTTTAGTTTTGAACCTCCCATTCCATTTCTACCAACAGAGAGGGTAGCAGGCTGAGATGCCTCTGGATGTAAGACCTACTAGTCAGGTTCTCTTTGCATGAAAGTTTCCAAGTGTGGTGGCCAAGTACCATTATGCCCTCCAGGTTGCCATTAACCCCATGTTGGAAGCTCTACCAGACAAGTAAAAGCAAGCAGCGAGATCTGGTTATAGAGGGTTGCATAGTGGTTTGATGCACTGTTAGGACAGCCTATGACAACTCAATGCCTGTTCCAGAGCCATGCCACAGAAACTTCCCTACATAGGTATTCCTGGATACATTCATTGGGGATCACTTTGGAGAGTAAGATCAAGGACCTTCTGTTTGAAGGGCAAGGTCTTTTCAGCAAAAAGTAGATTAATGATTCAAAAGGATGAAAGTTGCCAGGGCTAGAGCTCGGTCCCTTGACCTCATTCAACCCTTGTTCCTCTTAGGAAACCACCAGCATATTCCTCCTTCAGATATCAAAGGCAGGGAGTGGCCACATCCCAGAACTTCCCCTCCTTGAGCCTTTAACTTGACCCCCCCCCCGCCTTTTAAAGGAAACCGAAACAAAAAAAGCAAATGTGTTTCTTTACAGTCCACCTTCTCTGTCACCAAAAAGCAGGTTTAATGTTGCAGTTGAGAGCAGAGTTAGTCTTCCTGAGTTCTCTTCTTTCCATCCCCTCCTTTTGAGTTCTGTCTGTCCTAGTTTAACACTGCCTTGTGCATGACTACTTGCATTTACTGGGTTTTAGAGAACATTCACGGCAGATATGCCATCCAGTTCTCTACCAGTCCACCTTCCCTGAACCTCTTCGGGGACACTTCTCACAAGGAAGTCCTGTGGGATGAAGTGGACTCCCTCTTCTCAAAAGGAACCATAGAGGAAGTCCTTCTATGAACATCAGGGGAAGGGCTTCTATTCTAGGTATTTCCTGGTTCCAAAGTCCTTGTCTACACTACAGAGTTTTGTCAACGCAAGTTACACTGGCGTATAGCCACCGCTGTAATTAAACTGCTGTTGCATGTCCACACTGTACTCTTTGTGTTGGTGGAGCACATCCACAATAGCAGCTCTTGCATCAACACAGAGAACAGTGTACTGTGGGTAGCTATCCCACTGTGCAACTGGACGCAGGGTGCTTTGGGAAGGGTTTGCAGTACCTCCTGGGGCAGGTACAGCATCACATGATGAAGGTTTCTCAAACCCATTGTTCCATGGGCATCCTACTGGATTGCCAGATGCTTTTCAACTGCCCTGGTAACCTGCAACCCAGCCATCTCTGTCAGAAAGCATGGATCCTGCACTGCTGTTCAGTATTGTGCTGTGCATTATGAACACAAGTCTATAAAAGGAGCTCAATGTGGGGCTATTTGGCCGAGGGATGCCTTGAAGGAACATATTAACACTGAGCCACAGTCATGTGTGTTGCTGTAGTGTGCTGAGCCTGGCATTGTTTGTTTGCACTGTACTATGAGCCTTGTAATGATGGCTCTGTGTGTCCGAAAAGTAACACATTTTAAATCACTTTTTAAAGTAGTGCTCGGTAATATGACCAAACTGACATTGCTGAACACTAACACGAGAAGCCTACAGAAGTGTGGGGAAACGGCAGCGTGTGTGACAGGGAGTGTGTGTGTGTGTGTGTGTGTGTGAGAGAGAGAGAAACAGAGACAGAGTGATTGTTGGGGAAGTGTGTGTGTCGGGGAAGAGTGAGTGTGTCAGCATGCTGTCTTTTTAAGTTCAGACAGCAGCTGGAAGCAACCAATCCTGAGGCAGAAGCTGGTCCACAGACAGCTATTGTGCCCCTGTCCCCTCCACACCCCAGCTCAGGGGAGACCAGTACACCGCGGCGGGGTGGGGTGGGGGAAGGGGGACACGCTGACAGCCTCCATCTCCCTCCCTGGCTCTGTACAGCACAGCATGAGTCTCTCTCCCCTCTCACCCCCCCGCAGCAGCACGCCCTGCCTGCCTGTCTGCCACTGCAGTTCTAGTGCCCGGGAGAGCAGGATTCTGTGTTAATGTTCTGATTCTGTGATTCTGTCTGAGTTTTCCCACCCCCTCCTCTGTAGTCCAGGCAGGAGTGTGCTTGCTGCCCAGAGCTGCATGCTCAGCTGGGCAGTAGCTGTGTGAGCTCTGCATGCTGAGGAATTTCAACACTTCCTGAAGCTTTGAAAGGAGAGGGGTGCATGCCTGTGTAGCTGGATGCAGGGCAGCAGAGTTCAAAATAGCTCTGGTCATGGTGGGCATTGCAGAATACCTCCTGGAGGCCAGTTACGACCAACACAGTGTCTACACTGACACTTCGTCAATCTAACTTTCCTGCAAAAAGCTCTATGCCTCTTGTCGAGGTGGTTTTTATTTTGTTGGCAAAACAGGAGAGTTTTGTTGGCAGGAGGAGCATTGTAGTGTGTACAACTCTACTGTTTTGTCGGCAAAAGCTGCCTTTTGATAACAAAACTATATAGTGTAGACAAAGCCTAAGACAGTGAATGGTCTCAGACCTTTTCTGAATCTCAGAAACCTGAACGGATACATCAAGACCTCTGTTTAAAATGCTAACCAACCATTCCCTCCTCTCAAGGAGACTGGTATGTGAGACTCACTTGATCGATGCTTATTTGCATGTGACCATCAGAAAAAAGCCGTTCAGATACCTGAGTTTCAGCATTGGAAACAAACATTTCAATACACGATACTCCTTTTTCAGCTTGTACATAGATCTAAAGGTCGTCACAAAGTGCCTGGCTGTGGTAGCTGCCCACTTAAGATGCCAGGGGTCACATGTCTTTATCTATGACTAGGTACATTGTGGCCTCCATTACTGTAATATTTAGGCACCTCACAATCTTATAATTATTTATCCTCATAACGTCCCCCTGAGTTAGGGAAAGAGTATTATCCCTATTTTAAAGATATGGAACTGAGGCAGAGAGAGACAAAGTGACTTGCCCAAGGTCACACAAGAAGTCTGTGGTGAAAATGATAATTGAATCCAGGTCTCCGTCTCAGGCTAGGACATTTAGTACTGGGCCAGCCATTCTCCCTCTCTAATAAGAGACAAATCACAATAGGGAATGACAGAATCATATTTAAAACATGCAAGCCATTCATCACCAAAGGCCTGCAGTTAAACTGGGAAAAGTCTACTCTATCTCCTTTTCAAAAAAGCATGTTTAATGGACAGTGGTGGAACGGAAAGGAGAGATTCCTCGGCATCCAGAAAACACCAGCCTAAGAGCCTACCTGAATCAACCTACAAAGTTATTCCTTAGGCTAATGGCTGTCATGGCAATCATGACATGCGACACACTATATATATGCCTGCCTACATATGATACTGCTGCAAAATTGGCTGGTTCAATAATTAATTAGCCACCTCCATACTCAGGAACGGGAAATTCAGTCTCTTGAGGGAAAACACACAATGCTAGCTACACTACACAAGAGCAGTATACATCTCAAGTTCAGGAATTCTCATTAGCCTCTCTAAAATGTGCACCTGGCTGCTATCTCAGCACATTACCAGTCAGAACAGGGAGAAACAATACTTTCTTCTCCTACAGTAGCCAGATTCCCAAAAGGACTCACTAAAGCTTTTACCCCAGTGAGAGAACCACCTCATTACTGGGATTTAAATTTAGTGCTCTGGCCTTCCATCTGCCCATCAACAAGGAACACCAAATCCCATAAGTGTGAATCTACAGAGGTACTCTTGAAGAACAGCAGTTATTGGTAAAGTGGCCTCTTTTTAACTGAACCTAATCTTTGAGCAAATGAACATTTCTTCGCTTTCCATTCTTTGTTTTAAATTTCTCCAATTTGTTTTTAAAATATTCAATTTTAGTATAATCGTTCAAACTTATTTTAATACAGTGCACTTGTCCACATCCCACAGTCCAAAGGATATTAATACAAGATTATTTTTTTTTAACACTTTGAGTTTTAGCACAGTATCCATTGTATTTCCCGATAGTAAAAAGAGTCTAAAACTTGATTAATATGTGCCATGAGCTATAAAAAATTGCATTGCAAAACTTTATTTTTAAAGGAGATAATGTAAGAAAAAATAAAATACTTTATACTCTTGACAGTAAGGAGAAATATAAGTTAAGACTGATAAAGCACCATTTTTTCCCCTCTCCTGATTCTTAGTGTATCTATGGTAGACCAGGTGGACCAGTGTTTACAAGAAATGTGTTGGCCAATGTTTTACATCACCACCAAAATCCAGAGTTTTATGATGAGGTAAGCAATTCTAATTGAGACTTCACTTTTACTGGCTTTCAGTATGTATTTTTACAAGTTTCACAGATAGCAAAACAGACTAATGTGGAGATGGTGTGCCCATTTGGGGAGAGGGGTAAAGTGTATCATGTATTTAATTTCTTAACTTCAGAAGTTTCTTTATAAGTTTTTATTTAATGTAAATTGAACTCAAGCTCTAATTGTAATTGAAAAAACAATGTTGTAGTATTAATTATGCTTATTGCTTCATTCACTTTTACATTATGGAAATTAAATTAAACTTTTTTGATGTATTTATTTATTTTCATGCTGGCTTTGCAAAAACATTAAAATCAGACCCTGTCATTATCTTTCAAACTATTACTTCTACATAATTAATGTAAACCCTAACATTGTATGACTGCATTCTTAAATCTTTCTTCAAATCTCATTGAAACCAAGTGTTGTTCTCAGGCCAGAGTGGACAACTGCATGCTTGTTGTACATTAACTAGTATGATGTGCCTCTGCATGACTGAAGACTTTTTCTTCACAAAAATCACTGAAGCTGATGTTTATCTGCCTTTCAGATTAAAATAGAATTGCCCACACAGCTACATGGAAAACATCATTTGTTTTTCACATTCTACCATGTCAGCTGTGATAATTCAAGCAAAGGCAGTACCAAGAAGAAAGATGTCATTGAAACACAAGGTTTGGCTTGTTGACCCTTTTTACTGTTAAGAATGGTTTAGCAGATTTCAAAAAGTGCATTTAGCTGGTATACTGGATACCTGTTGCATTGATGCAGGTAATTCTGTAACATTAATTATAGTGAAAAAATAGATTTGCCATGTGAAATATTTATCCTTAATTTCAGTTTTTTTAAGAATTATGAATTCTTTTGAGTGTCAAGCAAATTAAAATATTTTACAATTTTTTACCTGAAGATGAGGATACATTCTTTTTTTAACATTTTTAGCTATGTTTATATTCTTTGTTCAACAAGTTGGGTCTTTGTAAACCAGAAACCATGTAACCGTGTATATGCTCTAAATAGAGAGGAGGCCACTGAAGCTCTCATATAGGCCTTTAATTAAAAAATACATAATATATGTAAAATATTAATTCCCTTTTGTTTCTTGTAGTTGGCTATTCTTGGCTTCCATTATTAAAAGATGGGAGAGTAGTGACAAATGAGCAGCACATTCCTGTATCAGCTAATCTTCCATCAGGCTATCTTAGCTATCAGGAACTTGGGATTGGCAAGGTATAGTATTTAGATAGGTATATAGGTATATTTTTTTCTCTGTGAAAAGAGAATACAAGAAATAAAATGAGCTAATGTTCAGTTCTAAGCTTTGTAAAAATTTTAAGTAGCCGTTTTCCAGTCAAAACATTTATTTTTATGACTCTTCCAAGATACAGATTGTGTGACATAGAATGTATTGCAGAAGAGATGTAACTGATGTGGAGTTCTAAAATAAATAAATTAGAGAAATCATATGAGCAAATCCTGTCATTTTGCTTCACAAGGATTTGAGTCAACCTGCTCCCATATAGATTTTTATGTAATCAAGTGTTTTTTTTCTGTTATCCCTTGTGTGTGGTGTCTGAGAAGCTTTTAAATATTGTGATAGGGTTTTTTTGTAATAGTGACAAATTGGATGTTGTCTGTGTGCAGAGAAAAATAGACTAATAACCATAAAAATTTTTTAAAAAAGAACATTTGTGCAATATTCTGTATTGATTCCTGCACCTGGTATAAGAAGAATTCCCTATATACCAAATCTGTTCTTTCTCTCTGGATACACTGAAAGGTCCTCCATTTGTTTCAAAATGCAGTGGTAAAATTGTTGCCATTTGTTTAGTTAGTTTATTTTTAAGTTACATATACTAAAGATATAATTTTTTTATTACCATAGTTTTGGGCTTTTTATTTAGAGCCTCTTTAGTGGCTCTGTGTGTGCTGGGAATATGCATTTGTGTAGCAGAATACTATTAGGGAAGATAATAAGCATTTCAAGAGTATTCCATTTGCACCCTAAATATTCCCTTGGAGTTTTATAATCTAGAATAGACAGACCAAGACACTCTTTAATATTGGTGTTTGTTCAGCAAGTGATGCAAATGTTTAGTTGTGGTTGCTCCACACACCCATGAACTGGGAATATATGTGCGTCATTAAGTTGATGATTTGTGGGCCAATATTTTGTTCAGGGAAGAGAGTGCCTAACTGATGGTCCATGCATACTAATTCCAAGGTCTGGCCACTTCATCTCATCCAATGAAAAACTTCCCAATTAGACCGTGACATACTTTAAATTAAATTTAAATACACAAGAAGGCTTTGCAAATTCATCTGAAGTTCTTTTCTTAACTTTTATTAGAATGTCACCTTATCCATGCACTTCTCTTTCAATAAACCTCTCACCCAAGAATAGCCCTTGTTCCACAAACTGAATCTTGGAGCTGCTAAAATCCTACCTGCCAGCATTGTCAAAGCAAAATCTGTAGATTATAACTTTACATAAAATCATAAAAAGATGCCAGTGCAGAAGGGTCAGGGGGAGAGATGCAGAAAGTAAAAGGGGAATTCATTGAAGGGGGAATGAGGCAAGGGGGGAGGGGGAGGCCGGAACTCAACTGAGAAGAGGGAATTAATTGGGAGAATTGTTTCTTCCCCTTCTGTGTCCAGTCCTCCCCACCACCACCTTTTCACTCTCCAACTTCCTCCCCATCTCCTTGCTTTTCATAATCCAGCCATGTCTATCCCACCCTTCCCTTAATTTTAGGGAAGCACTTAGCTCTTCACCTTCTCCTCCCAAGTCTTAGCATCCGGAGGACTAGAACGTCTAGATGCAGGGTCAGGGATGCTAGAACAGTTTGTATAGTGTGGGTGCTGAGAGCCATTGAACCAAACTAAACCCTCTATATGATGGAAACCACTTCAAGCCAGGGGGTGTGGCAGCATTCTTAGCATGCCTAGTTCTCGCACCTATGCGCAGGGCAAGCAGGAAACAACAGCTCCCCAACAGGATCTCACTTTAGAGAGCTGAGTACTGTTCTGACATTCCCAAATGAGAGGGAAAGGGAACACTGACTGCTACACATTCTGAGACACCAGTTTATCTTAGTGCAAGCAGCAGCTCTGATTGACTGTCCTTCTCAAGAACAGCCAATCAAATGAGGATTTCCTGTGGTCCAGGAGGTTTCCCCATACACTTAAAGGAGAGTCAGAAAACCCATATCTTACATGAAAAGTCCACTGAGTTAATTAGCATACATAACCCATAAAGTTCATCCATCTGCAAGTTTTTCATGTGATGCCAATACTATGGGACAGTTTGTCTTTAAAAAGAACCATTTCTAATTGAGTAACTACATACATACTTCATAATGATTTTTAGTGGCATTGCCTTCCAGTTATTCATTGCACGATTTTACTTGATATGTACAAGTTTACAGTTTATAAGACAGTCTGAAATGTCCATATATATGGTATGCAAACCACTGTCCTGTTGTTTTGGGTTGGTATGCTGACATGATATATTATTTTTCCTCTTTGTGTGCAAACAGCATTCTGGTCCTGAAATTAAATGGGTAGATGGAGGCAAACCATTGTTAACAATTTCTACGCATCTAGTTTCTACTGTCTACACACAGGTAAGTTTAAAACCAAAACAAATATTTTATGATTAATGTGTCTTTGTAGCATGAATACAATATATAAAGGAATTTTTCAAACACACAAAAGAAACACACAAAAGGCTGCCAACTCCTATTTTGTGCCTCTGAAAATCTCCCCCATAGTTAATATATAAAACGTACTGTATGCTACAGTGGATTTTAAAATGATTATCCAGAATACAAAGCCTTTTGTCTAAGTCATCAGTTCACATTTGAGTCCAGTCCCATTTTTGACCAAAGTGAAAAGTGCCAGTCTCAATCCAATTCCAGTTGTTCACATTAAAACCATCACAGTGTTAACTGACATGCTTGTTGGCAGTGTAAGTAGAGAGCTAAAGGACTGAATGGTCATGAAGAGTGATCTAGCATCTGACAGCTAAAAGTGGTTCTTTCAGGTCAGCTTGAGATATAAAAGCGTGGCAGTGTGAGAAAGCTGCACGGACAATACCTTTACTGTATTGATCTGAAGATAAATATGATTTTAATCTCAGCTACTAACTTGGCATCTTTGACAAATACTAAAAACATTTACTTAAAATTTAAAAACAAAACAAAACTGTAGTTACCTTTGCACTGCTGAATGTGGCTGTCTTCACATATACTTGTATCTGTAGATTACTATATTTTGGATTAGTATTTTGGGTTCTGTACTGATAGAAACAAATACAGGACTTAAACAGTACATGCTTATTACTGTTAATCAGGGCAATTGTAATAATTTTTTTCTCCCTGTCAATTATTTTTAAGGAAATATACATGCCATTTTGTGCAATGATTGTTCAGTAATGGATCCATTTAATGTGGCTGAAGTTTTTGGCTGTTTGTTATGCACCTATTTTATATTGGCACTTGGAAGTGCTAACTGGAAACATATATATATATATATATATATATATATATATATATATATAAAATCAAAAGAGGAACACAGCAATGTTATCTGCATTTTTATATATGCATTGCTTTGTTCCTCTTTTGATTATGGAAGTAAACTTCAGTTATTGCTGATTAACTTTGGTTCTCTTGTTTTTGGTAGGACCAGCACTTACACAACTTTTTTGAGTACTGTCAGAAAACGGAGTCTGGAGCCCAGGCCTTAGGAACTGATCTCGTAAAGTATCTTAAGGTACAAAACAGCAGTGATATAACAGATTTAATAAAATTGGGAAATTGGGGAGAGGACTGTGGTCCTATCAATTGAGGGGTGGGGCTGCAAATCAGGATGTGATAATGATGGAGTTTTGCTAAGTTTAGCCCCCAGTCACCTCAACCACCTTCTCTCAAGATTGATATAGCTTGAACAAAAAAGTAAGGTTCCCACAGGAATGTTAATTTAGCCAAATTGGCCAGAATTTTAAAATAGATGCTGAAGGCCCGGCACCTAAATCTATTTATTTTCGTAAGTACATGCAGCTCTTCTTGACTTAATTGTGGGTACTTAGCCCCTCAGAAAATCAAGCCACTTTTTAAGAGGCTGAAATATGGATTTAGGGGCCAAACTTTATGCATCAGCATCTTGGCCACTGTGACTACATTAAGGTTAACAAAACATCAGCTTCAACATGTTGCCTCTGGAGACCAGAAAAATAGTATTGTGGTTAGGCACAGGACTTGGAGTCCAGAGACCTAGTACTATTCCTGGCTTTTCCATCAATTTTCTGTGTGACTTGTACAAGTCACCTTAATCTCCTTGTGCTTCACAGAGGATGATTGTCTGCATCACAGAAATGTAGTAAGGCTAAATTAATGGGTGTTTGTAAGGTATTTATCATCTGTTACTTTACTCTCAAAGCTACAACTGAGATTAGGGTCTTCATTGTGCCTGGGCACTGTGCATACACACAGTAAGACATTATCCCTGTTCTAAAGAATTTACAGTCCAAATAAGCAAGGCTTAGAACGGGTGGAAGAAAGGAAATAGTATTATGTACATTTTAAATATGTAGTTGAGACACAGATGATGTAACTTGCCTAATGTCATGCAGAAAGTCTGGAAAAGCTGAGAATTGAAGCCAGCTCTTCTGTGTCCCAGTGTAGTGCATTAACCACAAAACCATCCTTCTTTCCTGAAATTATTTTTAAATCATCAAATGTTAAGTGCCAAATAAATAGACAGCAGTATTATTATATTTAATATATAGCACTTCCAATTTTCAGTTTTAACCAATAATCACCAATAAAACACTCCGATACAAAATAAATGAAAACAATGTTTATCCAGTCAGTAAACACTGCGGGGGGAAAAAACAGAGATAGTTTCTTGTATCTAAGGGCTTGTCTACGTGGAGCAGTAATGCGGACTACAGGGGTGTGATTTCTGAATTCCAGTAACGTGTATGCATTAACTCAGTGATACTCAGAACGTGGCTCTTAAGCCGCAAGATGCTCTTTAATGTGTCTCCTGTGGTTCTTTGCAGCACATGTTATTAAAACACTGTGTGATTTAATTATTAACCAATCAGGATGCTTTTACCATGTTATTAACCAATTGTAGTTGATAAAATAATAATACTTGTTCAGTCATTTTGCTGTGAAAATTATATATATATTTTCCCCGGTCATACTATTTAAATATGAATATATAACACTATAGTAAATGAAACAATGAACTCACACTACTGTGGCTCTTTTGGGTAATGTTGATCACTAATTTGGCTCCTGAACCACTGAGGTTCAAGTATCACTGCATTGACTGGTCCATGTAGACCCTGCTAGTATGCACTAAAGGTTCCCTAGTGCACTTTATCATAGTTTATTGCACCCAATGCGGCATGCATGATTACCTGCCCTATGGGCAAGTGGCGTATGTGTTCATTCGATGCAAGGAATTCCTGGCCTTCAGAGACCATGTACGGGCTTTGGAGACCAGGGTGGCTGAGCTGGAGGAGCTAAGGGAGACAGAGAGGTACATAGATGAGACTTTCTAGGACACAGTAGAACGGTCCCATCCCCGGTCTGACAGCCTCTGTGCTGTTGAGGAAGATGAAAGCCTCAGGTAAGGAGAACATCCAACTGAGGGAAATGTGCGGTGGCCATCACGACCCCGGAGCCCAAGGCTTCCCGCAGCTCCCATTGTCTAGGAACAGCGAATCACGGCCACTGGGAGCTGCGGGGGGCCATGCCTGCAGGCGGTCAATATAAACACGTCTCCTGGCCTCCCAGGGGATTACCCTGGTGGGCTGTGTGCTGAAGGTTGCCGACCCCTGCTCTATGTCCTAGTAAGGAGGATAGTATGGAAGATGAAATACAGGTAGGATCTGATGAGAAACAGTCAAATGAAAAAAAGTCTTATTCAATTACACCATGTAATGGGAGACAGCTAAAAAGTGACAAGCTTTTAAAGTGCTTATATACCAATGTTAGAAGTCTAAATAATAAGATGGGTGAACTAGAGTGCCTTGTATTAAATGAGGATATTGATATAATGGGCATCACAGAAACTTGGTGGAATGAGGATAATCAACGGGACACAGTAATACCAGGATACAAAATATATCGGAAGGACAGAACAGATCGTGCTGGTGGGGGAATGGCACTATATGTGAAAGAAAGCATAGAATCAAATGAAGTAAAAATCTTTAATGAACCAAACTGTACTATAGAATCTCTATGGATAGTAATTCCATGCTTGAATAATATGAATATAGCAGTAGGGATATATTACCAACCACCTGACCAGGATGGTAATAGTGACTGTGAAATGCTCAGGGGAGAGACTATTAAAATAAAAAACTCAATAATAATGGGGGATTTCAACTATCCCCATATTGACTGGGTACATATCACCTCAGGATGGGATGCAGAGATAAAGTTTCTTGACACCTTAAATGACTGCTTCTTGAAGCAGCTAGTCCTGGAACCCACAAGAGGAGAGGAAATTATTGATTTACTCCTAAATGGAGCACAAGATCAGGGCCAAGAGGTGAATATAACTGGACCACTTGGTAATAGTGACCATAATATTAAATTTAACCTCCCTGTAGCAGGGAAAACACCACAGCGGCCCAACACTGTAACATTTAATTTCAGAAAGGGAAACTATACAAAAATGAGGAGGTTAGTTAAACAGAAATTAAAAGGTACCGCACCAAAAGTAAAATCCCTGCAAAGCTGCATGGAAACTTTTTAAAGACACCATAATAGAGGCTCAACTTAAATGTATATCCGAAATTAAAAAACTTAGTAAGAGAACCAGAAAAGAGCCACCATAGCTAAACAACAAAGTAAAAGAAGCAGTGAGAGGCAAAAAGGCATCCTTTAAAAAATGGAAGTTAAATCCTAGTTAGGAAAACAGAAAGGAGCATAAACTCTGGCAAATGAAGTGTAAAAATATAATTAGGAAGGCCAAAAAAGAATTTGAAGAACAGGTAGCCAAAGACTCAAAAAGTAATAGCAACAAAATTTTTAAGTACATCAGAAGCAGGAAGCCTGCTAAACAACCAGAGGGGCCACTGGACAATCGAGATGCTAAAGGAGCACTCAAGGATGATAAGGCCATTGCGGAGAAACTAAATGAATTCTTTGCATCGGTCTTCACAGCTGAGGATGTGAGGGAGATTCCCAAACCTGAGCCATTCTTTTTAGATGACAAATCTGAGGAACTGTTCCAGATTGAGGTGTCATTAGAGGAGGTTTTGAAACATTGATAAACCAAACAGTAATAAGTCTCCAGGTATTCACCTGAGAGTTCTGAAGGAACTCATATGTGAAATTGCAGGAATACTAACTAGTCTGTAACCTATCATTTAAATCAGCTTCTGTACCAAATGACTGGAGGATAGCTAATGTGATGCCAAGTTTTAAAAAGGGCTCCAGAGGTGACCCCGGCAATTACAGGCTGGTAAGTCTGACTTCAGTACTGGGAAAACTGGTTGAAACTATAGTAAAGATCAAAATTGTCAGACACATAGATGAACATAATTTGTTGGGGAATAGTCAACACTAGAATTCTTTGAGGGGGTCAACAAGCACGTGGACAAAGGGGATCCAGTGGATATAGTGTATTTAGATTTTCAAAAAGCCTTTGACAAGGTCCCTCTCCAAAGGCTCTCAAGCAAAGTAAGCAGTCATGGGATAAGAGGGAAGGTTCTCTCATGGATTGGTAACTGGTTAAAAGATAGAAAGCAAAAGGTAGGAATAAGTCATCAGTTTTCAGAATGGAGAGAGGTAAATAGTGGTGTCCCTCAGGTGTCTGTACTGGGACCAGTCCTATTCAACATATTCATAAATGATTGGAAAAAGGGGTAAACAGTGAGGTGGCAAAATTTGCAGATCATACAAAACAACTCAAGATAGTTAAGTCCCAGGCAGACTGCGAAGAACTACAAAAGGAGCTCTCAAAACTGGGTGACTGGGCAACAAACTGGCAGATAAATTCAATGTTGATAAATGCAAAGTAAAGCATATTGGAAAACATAATCCCTACTATACATATAAAATGATGGGGTCTAAATTAGCTGTTACCACTCAAGAAAGAGATCTTGGAGTGATTGTGGATAGTTCTCTGAAAACATCCAGTGGCAGTCAAAAAAGCGAACAGAATGTTGGGAATCATTAAGAAAGGGATAGATAATAAGACAGATAATATCATATTGCTCTACATAAATCCATGGTATGCCCACATCTTGAATACTGCATGCAGATGTGGTCACCCCATCTCAAAAAAGATATATTGGAATTGGAAAAGGTTCAGAAAAGGGCAACAAAAATGATTAGGGATATGGAACGGCTGCCATATGGGGAGAGATTAATAAAACTGGGACTTTTCAGCTTGGAAAAGAGACGACTAAGGGGGGATATGATAGAGTATATAAAATCATGAGTGGTGTGGAGAAAGTAAATAAGGAAGTGTTATTTACTCCTTGTAACACAAGAACTAGGGGGTCACCAAATGAAATTAATAGACAGCAGGTTTAAAACAAACAAAAGGAAGTATTTTTTACACAACACAGTCAACCTGTGGAACTCCTTGCCAGAGGATGTTGTGAAGGCCAAGACAATAACAGGGTTCAAAAAAGAACTAGATAAGTTCATGGAGGATAGGTCCATCAATGGCTATTAGCCAGGATGAGCAGGGATGGTGTCCCTAGCCTTTGTTTGCCAGAAGCTGGGAATGGGCGACAGGGGATGGATCACTTGATGATTACTTGTTCTGTTCATTCCCTCTGTGGCACCTGGCATTGGCCACTGTTGAAAAACAGGATATTGGGCTAGATGGACCTTTTGTCTGACCCAGTATTGCCGTTCTTATAGTGCTGTTTGAAACAGTACTATGTTAAAGCACACTAGGGAACATTACAAAGATATTATCATTACAGTATATACTACTTTAATGAGTAATGTATATAATATGCTTTGGCTTGGAAGGATTAGATTTTTATCAGTAAATGTTGATAAATGTCTATTTCAACATATACACAGAAACCGATGAAAAAATATTTCATTAATAATCAAAATTTAAAGATAAACAAAAGTAAGAAAAATGCTTCTTGAGAACTTATTAGAGTTTGATTTGAGGCTATTTCCTTTGTATATTTTGACATATGATATTGACAATGTGTGTTTTAATGGTTATAAAGCTTTAACATTTTGAATTCTAACATTGACTGTCATTAAATAATTGTCTGTTCCCCACACACACAATTTCCCACAACTATGAACATTTTAATTGATCAAAATGGAAAAATGATTAAAAATAAACATTGATATCTATCAAAACTATTAAAAGTATTGAATTTAGCTAAGCCGAAATATACATAACTTATTACAGGTTGTACAAAGCGGAAAAAAAACCCCAAAAACAATTTTTAACATCTACGTAAAACTTAAAAATCACTAAAAATAAACCTTGACAAATAAAATGAATAAACTCAAAAAAACAACCAGACACCTTATTAATATATTGAGCAGAGATTTAACCTGTCCCATCCATCTTCCAAATATACTTTCTTCATGCCAAGCACTTAGTATTTTTAATTATTTGAACACTTCACTGTCCACAGTAGTTGAGCACTCTGCATTTGAAGATTTACCAAACTTGGCATACCCTTACAGTTAGGCTGTGTATATTCTTCTGCATAAACTGCAATTTGCTTGGATTAAAATGTCTGCAAGTGCAGACTGAATGTCAAAGTAGCAGCCTGGGTTCTTGACTGAACTAGCAAGGTGTCTAGTGTTCAACTTGTCAACTTGATGTGGTAGATGTTGGAATACTTGTTATAGAAGACTATTGACCCCATGGAAGCAAAAAATTATGAATGAGAAGTTCTAAAATCCTTTTATTTAACCAAATCTAAATTTTATGCCTACATTACCTGACTATAACACTGTAATTTCCACAAAATTGAAAATTTCATATGTCAAAAAGTATTCTCCATCCCCTTTCATACAGTTGTCTTTCAGATAGCTAATTAGTACTGTACAGTGCAAAGGATTGAATCATAGAAGTATACGGCTGGAAGAGACCTAAAGAGGTCATCTAATCCACCCCTCTGCACTCAGGGAAGATAAAGTATATCTACATCATCCCTGACAGGTGTTTGTCTAACCTGTTCTTTAAAACCTCTAATGACAAGGATTCCATAGCATCCCTAGGTAACCTGTTCTAGTTTTTAACTACCCTTATAGTTAGAAAAAATTTCCTAATAAGCAACCTAAATCTCTCTTGCTGCAAATTAAGCCTATTACTTCTTTTCTGTAGAACAGGTTATTATCCTCTTTATAAAAACCTTTTACATATTTGAAAACTGTTATCATGTCCCCCGCTCTTCTCTTTAGTCTAGAGAAGCCTTCGGTTCTCTAGACTAAACTTGCCTAGTTCCTTCAACCTTTCCTTATAGGGCTCATTTTCTAAACCTCTTATTATTGTTGCTCTCTTCTGGACTCTTTCCAATTTGTTCTTGAGTGTGGTGTCCAAAACTGGACACAGTACTTCAGCTGAGGCTTCACCAGTGCTGATTAGAGTGGAACAATTAATTCCCCACCCCATGTCTTATATACAACACTCCTGTTAATGCATCTCAGAATGACATTTACCTTTTTTGTAACAGCATCATACTGTTGAGTCATATTCAATTTGTGATCCACCCAGATCCTTTCTGTAGTATTGCTGCCTAACCAGATATTCTCCACTTTGTATTTGTGCATTTGATTTTTTCCTTCTTAAGTGTAGTAGTTTTCACTTGTCTTTATTGAAATTTATCTTACTGATTTAAAACCAATTTTCCAATTTATCAAGATCATTTTGAATTCTAATCCTGTCCTCCATAGTGCTTGCAACACTTCCTGTCTTGGTGTAATCCGCAAGCTTTATAAGCATACCTTCCACTCCATCATCCAAGTTGTGAATGGAAATATTTAATAGTACTGGACCCAGGAAAGACCACGGTGTAACTCCACTTGATATGTCCTCCCACTTTGATGGCAAACCATTGTTAACTACTCTTTGAGTTCAGTCTTTTAATCAGTTTTGAATCCACTTTATAGTAATCTAATCTAGACCACATTTCCTTAGTTTGCTTATGAGATTGTCATGTGGGACTGTGTCAAAAGCCTTACTGTAGTCCAGTTATATCATTCCTACTGCTTCCCTCTTTTCCACTGGGCCAGTAATCCTATCAAAGAAGGAAATTAAGTTGGATCTATGTTTGCTATTACTTATCACCTTATTCTCCAGATTTGAACAAATTGATTAATAATTTGTTCCAGTATCTTTCCAGGTATCGAAGTTAGACTGACTGGTCTATAATTTCCCAGATCCTCCTTTTCCCCCTTTCTTGAAGGGGGAAAGTTCTTTTTCTAAGTAGATTGTAGAGGAGTTTTGAAAATAACATTAAATGGCTTGATTACAAGGAAGTAATATTACTACTCTATTTCTTTCTCTTAGAGTCTTCATGCTATGGAAGGCCATGTGATGATAGCTTTCCTGCCTACAATTCTAAACCAATTGTTTCGAGTTCTCACTAGAACTACTCAAGAGGAAGTTACAGTCAATGTGACAAGGTAAAGAATTTAAGTGGTCCAGTGTGTTTAAATGATTAATGGTTTGTGCCCCAGATTTCTCCATGTGGTAGTAAGTTGCAGAAATGAACTGATCTGTAGTCAAAGTACACATTTTTGTGACAGCAGAACATAACTTTTTTCTGCAGTTTTATGTTTATTGTTGGTTTCTATCTTTTTTTAGGGTTATTATACATATTGTTGCACAGTGCCACGAAGAAGGATTGGATAGCTATTTGAGGTCATATGTCAAGGTATACAAAATAAAATAATGTGTTTGCTTTTTTAAAAATATCCCATTAAAAATAGTCAGTTGCATTTATTTAAATTGCACATGTTACATTCTGTTTCCTTTTTCCTGCAAGTATGCTTATAAAGCTGAGCCTTATATTGCTTCTGAATATAAGACTGTACATGAAGAACTGACAAAATCCATGACAACAATTCTTAAACCATCTGCTGACTTTCTTACAAGCAACAAGCTACTTAAGGTATTTGTTGAAAAACTTTTACTTTTTCCTTCTTGTTTCTAATAAAGCAGAGTCTAATCCTCAGAACTGAACTGTTAAGAAACAATATGTCATCTCTTTCCTAGCAGATGTTGTAAATAGCTAATTGTATCCAGGTTGTCATTGGCTGTAAAAAGACTAATTTAGTTTTGGAAATTTTAGACTAGTTTTGCAGTTTTATATAATGCAATAATTTGGTTTTCTTTTCAGTATTCGTGGTTTTTCTTTGAAGTTCTGATAAAATCAATGGCTCAGCATTTGATAGAAAACGCTAAAATAAAGGTATGTAGACTTATATTTAGACCATTAAGAGCTTTTTATAGCACAGTCTCCCCCTTCATCAGTTTTTATTGCATGTTTTTGCTGTATATAAGAACACTAACTAGAGTTAAATTAAATAGCTAAAAACTTTGTTAACCCAGAGTTAAGGATGTCTGGCAATAGTTTGTGCCCTTCCAGAACACTGAGTTCAGCAAAACTCAAACTTGTGAAAACCAGGAAATAGAGTTAAAGGTACACATCTGTGCAACCTTAACTCTGCCTCCCTGAAGCTGGTAAGAGCCACTAATGATTATTTGCATGCACTCCAGCTGCATTCACTGTGTTAGGTGTAGCTGTAGTGAATGGTAGAGAAATAGAGCAGCTTGGAAAAGTTGTAATTGTGATACGAGACAATCGAGGGGACCGTGTCTGGGGATGTGTGTGAGGCCCTCTCCCTGACCGCTGCGTGTGTGATCAAAGGAAAGGTGCATGCTACTGTGAGAGATCCAGTATGCCTCATTTCAGCATTGCATTGTGTAGAAATTAGGTGGGAGATTAAACTCAGACCACACTAATAAGGTACAAGTGAAAGTATAGTTTTAGGGCATGGCTACACTTGCAGATGTAGAGTGCTTTGAGTTAAACCAGCTTTCGTAGGGCACAGTAGGGAAAGCACTGCAATCTGTCCACACTGCAGCTTCTAGCGCACTGACATGGACCAATTTGCGGCACTTGTAGTGGCATTGGGAGTGGTGCATTATGGGCAGCTATCCCAGCACGCAAGTTACTGCAATGTGCTTTTAAAATGGGGGTGGAATGGGGTGGAGTGTGACAGGGAGTGTGTTGTGTGTATGTGGGGGGGGAGAGAGTGGGTTTTGGGGTGCTGAGAGCATGTCAGCATGCTGTCTTGTAAGTTCAGAGAGCAGCAGACCTCCCGCTCCCCCCCGCCTCTCTCTCTCTCACACACAGCATACCACAGTAACGGCTTGCATGCTGGCTGTCAGAAACTGAGCTTCGAAAGGGCATTTCTGCATTCCTACAGGAGTTCAAAACAATGACAAGAGTGGCCACGTGACTTAAGGGGATTATGGGACGTTTCCAGAGGCCGATCAGAGCGCAGTAACGCAACACCTCGTTCATACTGATGCCTGGGCATTGTAGCCAAAGCGCAGCAAACATTATTCCTTTCGCCGAGGTGGAGTACCAGCAGCGCTGTAGCCGCGGAGTCAGAGCACTCTACGTGCCTTGCCAGTGTGGACGGGTAGTGAGCTAGTGCGCCCAGGGCTCCTTTATTGCGCTGTAATTCGCAAGTGTAGCCAGGCCCTTAGATGTCATTGTGTACATAAGGATAAAGGTGGTGTAAAAGGGATTGAAGGACTTGTAAAATTTAGCAGATGTGTTCTTTCTGTGGAGTAGGCTAAGTGTAGAAGTGTAAGTAGTTCTTGTTCTGTACAGGGCAAAGGCAGAGTATGAGTATGTGTTATAGGTGTGTTGGGGCATCAGTCAAAGAGGGCAGAGTTAGGGTTGTGTGGATGCATACCTTAACTCCGTATTTCCTAGTTTTCACAAGTTTTTCTGATCAATGTGTTCTGGAAGGGCATAAGCTATCACCAGGCAAACTTAACTCTGGATTAACTAAGTTTTTTTGCCATGTAATTTTCTGGTTTTGTGAACAAAAAGAGAAATGCTTTTGGTAGGAGTTAGGCAGTTTTTAATTATCCTATAGATGTGCACTTCAGACACTGTTATGAACAGATAATGTTAATAATACCTAATTCTTACAAAGCACTTTTCATCAATAGATCGCAAGGAGGGAAACATCATTATTCCCCTTGTACACAGTGTGGCACAAAGAGGTGAAGTGACTTGGCCAAAGTCCTCTAGCGGGCTAGTGGCAGAGCCAGGAATAGAACCCAGGTTTTCCAAGACCTAGTCCACTGTTGTACCCGCTAGGTCACACATTTGCTGTATGAGTCCCAAGTGCTCCTTCTGTCCTCGTAAAGTTTGTTGCAGTAGAATGGGGATAATGGATGTGCTTTGAAATGTTTGAAGTGTGTAGTTGCTAATAAGCTATTGAGAGAAATCTTAGACATGGTCTGTGTCCTGAGAGCTTGACAGTTGTATTACATGGTGGTTACAGTAAATTTAAGCTTGTGATTGATGACGGTTATGCCTCCCTCCTTTCCCCATTATTCCCCACAACATGTACTCTCCCAGCCACCCAGCTCACCCTCCCTTTCCGGTCCAATTAAGCAATTTATATTTTATAAGCCAGATGCACAACACGTGTGTGTGCGTGCGCACACATACAAAATACACACAAAAAGGTAGAATCTGTGAACTTTGAAGAAAAGCTTTGTTTTGGAAGGAAGGAGGGGGGCTGTATCTCAGGTACCTCTTACTCAAATTACCCTAAATTTGAATCACTCACCGTACCCTGTGGCCCCATAGTGACATAGTAACTATCAAGACAATCCAGGTACACATGTGGATGGTAGAACACTTAGAAGAATCGTTCTTTAAACAGAAAACATATTCTCAGTCTTAACTTCAGCAGAGCTCTGCTATACTATTTATTAAACTAATCATCATCAAATGTTTAGCTACATGGGGGTCTGCAGCAAAAGATAATCCCTGCAAGTATAGGAGATTCTGAGAGGTGTGAATGTGATGGTCTCAGCTGAATGAGAACACCCCATGGAGATAAATACAGCCCAGAACCATAGCTCTGAGATGTGTGAACTCCTCCATTCATGTCAGTAGTTGTTCCCCTCCTCCTCCAACCTCCCCAGTCCGGTGCTGGATAGTCTGTGAGATCCATCAAGCATGCCCATTCTCAACTCCTTACCCCAGTGTCAGAAACATATTTTCGGCTCATGATCCCAGTATGCATGTTCTCATCTCTCCACCCAGTGGGAAGGGTGTTCGCAGTTCCTGGCTCACATGAGGGGCAGGGAAAGGGCAAGCACCCCCAGGTCCCAGCTCACATGGTAGAATAGGGAGAGGGGCTCAGGTAACCCCAGAAGAGCAAGGGACACCACAGAACCTTTCACACAAGAGAGGGATAGGGCGGGAGGAAGGTGGTCAGACCACAGTAGATGGGCAGCACCCCACCTCCCAACAAAATTCTTGGACACACAGATGAAGGTAGGAAGATTTGCTCAGATCCCCCCTGATCCTGGCACACACACACAGGAGGGGACAATGTGGGGCTGAAAGGAGCCCCTGCCCCTATTCACCTACTGTCACTCATCCCCATGTCCCCCTTCCCAGTGTCCACCCTCTCCTCCCGCTTCACCAAGCTCCCATCCATTCCCATCACCTGGCCATCTCCCACTCCTGGTCACCCATCCCCTACCCATAATCACCCCTCCCCTTGCTGCACCCCAGACCCTTTTAACCCTATTATCACCTATTGTTAATCACCATTAATCACCCTCTCATCCCAGCAAGAAAGTGCATGTGTAAATTATTTTGTTTTTAAAATAGTTTAATTGGCTACTGAATATTCTGCTGTACTCAGATTATATTTCCCCCAAAGAGGAAACACCCTTTGACAGAAGCAGATTTGAGCAACATGCCTCCCTTTTTAAACTTCAGATTTGTCTGGATGTTGCTCAGGTTCAAGGACTGTAACATTCCCTCTTGAGCTATTCAGGTCCTCTGAGTCATAGCAAGCTTTCAACCCCATTAACCATTGTCTCTGCACATGCACAATGTAATCCATTTAGCATGTGAGTCTTAAAACTGCTTAGTGCAGCCTAACAGGAAAAGCAAACTCTTTGGCTAATAACATTGTAATTTGATTTCCTCCAGAGGGCTAGTGGGTGGCATGCACTCTGTTGGGGTACCTCTCGAGCATTTGAGACTCTGATGCAATGATCTGAGCCCTAGTTTGATCTTTATCTGTGCACAAAAAAAGTTGCAAGAATATTTCAACCTTTAGAAAAGCTGTTTTTGTCCAAGGACTGTATCTTGGAAATCCCTTGATCAAATGGCTCCACAGTTGGATCAGTAACAGAACCCCACACCCTGATGAGGTATGCCAAATTTGAAGGCAATCCAAGTAACCATGTGGATTTTATAGCACTTAAGAGTCAAGCTTTACACAGAAAGCTGGTCTTGTCCTTAATGATGGCAGAGCTGGCACTCCAGTACAGTAAGAAAAAATATAGAAGTAGGTATGTGATATAGAGGAATGTTTTACTTTTGCTCCTTGCTTTGTTGTAAGAAAACTGAGAGAAAAGAGCAGTAGCATGAAGAAAAGAGAAACAAACCATAAGAAAAGAGGGAAAGATGACACACAGCAGAACATAGCACATCAAACAGAAAAGTATCATACAGAGCCAGAAGATTATCATAGCAATTATATCAGTCTAAACAGTCGTTTGGCCACTAGGCTCACCTGTACACATCACCATTCCTTATTATATTGTTGCATGTGTATACTATGATAGAGACCAGAGGCAAAACAGGCAGGATCAGGATCTTGTTATGCTAGACATTGCAAAAACACAGTCTGTCCCCTGAAGAGCCAATCTAATTATGTTATTAAAGGACTCCGAGAGAAAAGAACAATGCAAACAGATTTTTTTTTTTTTTTTGCCTTTTTCCTGTCTCTTACATGCTATACACAGCTGCAATATCATTAAATTCACTGTACCAATTTTCTGTTCTGGAAGCTGTAGGTGTTTTAGCACTAGATATTTTGCTACCAGTGAGGCTTGTAAGAAGCCATGTTTTTGTGACTCATTGAGATCTCTTGGTTGGTGTGCCCCAATATAAACAATTCTGGTTGAAACAAACAAGCTATGTCTACAGTAGCACTTTTGTTAGTAAAAACACACCCCTGACTGACATAAGTTTCACTGATAGAAGTGACGGGGTGGAAGCATTATGTCAAACATTATTTCTTATGCTCTTCCGCTAACATAGATACCGCTGCTCATTGGGGAGTGGTTTAATTATGCCGGCATGGGAGACCTTACAGCAGTGCAGCTGCAGCGGTACAGCTGTGCCAC